ATAAGTGGGGTAAAACTATGGAATAATTTAAATGTGGACATAAAAAATAGTACTAGAATTGACGAGTTTAAACATAAATATAAAGGTATGTGTCAATCAAGATATATGCAAGAACAGGCTCAATGATTAATTAGATGGAACATTGTGGGTGTGGTGTATATTTTGTAACCATTCCTTAGTATATTACTTGTGTGATGTAAGAATGTTAACACTGTTAAAATCTATTTTTAGTATAATATGTGTGTGGGTAGAAGTGAATCATTTACTGCTTGCAAACCAATGATGGTAAGATGATGTCATGGGGTAGGACTGGATAAGTCTGACTTCTTCCTACTCCATTCAAGCATGTACTAGGTATAAGCACATTGATATTGGATTAGCATTTGTTGGATATGTGTAAAATTATGTGTGTTGTCATATCAACTGTCTTTACATGCTTGAAAGAATAAATCAAATCAAAAATTACAAAACTATTGTAATATTGAGAGGATAGTTTTAAGTAATTTTAAGCAAAATCAGGTGTGAATATACTGTGGTTTTCTGTCTTTTAAGCATCACCACCAGCTCTGGCAACTTATGAAGGACATTTTTGCATTTTGTTCATGTCACTAGAATCAAATCTCTCTCACAAACCCAGGTGAGGCTAAAGACAACCAGTAATTATTCAAGTTTGAGTAACAATTACCATTAACAATGATCACAACATTTCCAGTTTAATTTATCTGAATAAACTATAATTAATTCCAGTTTTTATAGCTACAGACCAGTTTTTATAGTTACAGACCAGTTTGAACTTATAGTTTTTGTACATCATTGAAAGACATTTTCATCATGGCCTCCTTTTTCCTTTGTGGATAAAATAAATCTAATTAATGGTCCCTCTCCTGTTGAGGGCCAGTTATAATTGACACTATCTTTATTTGTGCTAAATTCCTCAGTTGTCCTTATTTAAATATTAAGATGTCTTCTGTTATTTCTTAAATTGTGGTATTGTTTGCTGTGTGTTCTGACACAGTAAACATAATGTCCTATGTTTTGCTGTTTGCTCACCCTGGGACTTGTGTGTCACTCACCATCAGTGGTAAAAGATGACTGTTAGTTTTAAAGTGAAATGTTGTTTTGCAGGTTCCTATCCACAGCAGGCTGTGTACCCTCAGCAGAGCACTGCACCCGTATACCCTCCTGCTATGCAAATGTCTCCTCAGGCACCCCCTTACACAGACACACCACCTGCATATTCTGAGGTTATTATTGCATTTATAAGTTGTATGATAATACAGTCAATACTCACTGTAACTGTTCTACACCATTTTAAACCTGTCTTTCCATCTCTGTGTCTGCAGATATACCAGCCCAGATATGTGCTTCCACCTCAGGTGCCTGGTCAGGTGCCTCAAATGTCATCTCCCTACCCTGGTGCTCAGGTGTATATGCCCATGCAGCCACCTATGACTGTTGGGCCGGTGGGCCAGAATGTCCCCATGGCTTACTATCCCATGGGAGCTGTGTACCCACCTGGTTCAACAGTGATGGTGGAAAGTGGCTTTGATGCTGGTGCTCGCTTCTCAGCAGGCAGCAGCGTTTCCATTCCAGTGAGTATCCACGTACAGTAGCTCAGTGATTTTAAAGTAACCGACCTGATCACAGTTATGCAGTGGCTTATTTTATTTCTGTTTATGTTTGTGCATGCTTATTTGTCCCCCTCTGTAGCCCCCACCCCCTGGACATCCCCCTAATGCAGCTCAGTTGGCCGCCATGCAGGGTGCCAGTGTTGTAATGACACAACGCAAGAATAACTTCTTCCTGGGTGGATCCAGTGGAGGTTATACCATCTGGTAACAGCAGCTCCTCAATTCCTCCTCCATGCCTAAATCGTGTCCCCATCCCCAATGATTCCCCAGTTCTTCCCCCATCCCATATGCCTCCCTCTTCAGGCTGCTTGGCCATGCCACAATACTGATATCACCTAACGGAATGTAATATTTTAGAGCCCTCATGAAAGGTACAGTACTCCACTTCTGACCTAGAGATCAGATGATAAATGCCATTGCCTGGAGAGGACAAATTGTTTTTTTTTCCGCAAATGTCGTAGAATTCATTCCATAATTCTTTGCTGGGTCGAACCTCTTTGGTCACTCCAAACTGGACCTCTTTCAGGCATTTGTTTAAGAGACCTGGTCTCCCTTGATCGAATGATTCACAAATTACAATGAGTACTTGTATGCCTGTAAAGCTACCTAAATGACATGTTTAAATATCAGACCCGCATAATATAGTTTAGCTGCTTTATGGTGAAAGTGAAACGCAGTTACAGTTGCAGTTAAAGTGCAAAAAAAAGAAATCTCCTCTTGTCTTTTTTTGGAAAATTTTTAGTGTAGTTAAATTAATAGATGTGTACTAGTTCCTTGTAAATACCAGTATGATGATCATGAGAAATTGCATCTTAACTATACAAAAAAAAAAATACAACCCTCTGCATCTTAGATGCTTTTAGGTAGAATTGTCTTGTCCTTTGCACAGTATCCAAAATACTACAGCAAATATGGTTGCACAGTGAACTACCTATCTGACAGTGTGTTCCATTTAAATTGCTTGTAAATTAAATAAATTAAAGAAAAGAATTCAAGAAAAGAGTCCATGCAATATCCAAAGTGGTTTACTGTACCTTGTTGGGCAACTTGTAGATGAACATAGTGAAGTGCCAAAGAGCACTGGGGATATCCCTAATTTAAAGCAAATTAACTTCAGTAAACTTAAAGGAAAAAAATTAAAGTAAATCCAAATAGTAAGTTGAATAGGAAGGAGTGGTTGGTGTAACATTTTAGCTTATTTGTCTCCTGTTGCTATTCAGTCGGATACCCAGAGTTTATACACTAAATGTTTATTGTGCAGGTTTTAAGAGCTACACTCCATGACTTCTTTCACACAGTGGAATTTGGTATCGTCAAACCAATGTTATTTATTCACTGTAGATGAGTGTCACCTTTGTGATAGCATTAGTTTGTAGTCAGCATTTTCTAAGGTTGAGGAGACAAATTTTTCAGTGTTTCTTTTTCTTCCTACATTACTTCCCACATTCAAGTGATTTACTTGGATAGTTAGGCTAATACATTTGTTAGTATAACCAACGAGCTGCTTGTACCAAAGATTTGGTCTACAATGCACTTGTGTTTGGTTGTGACTTGAAATTTGAAATGTCACAATTTAAAAGCAAACGTATCGTATAAGCAGTTAATGAGATTGTTGATACTGAGAGTCTTCAGTCTGACATGACTGCAGTTGTTAGTCAGTATGTTGATGTCACTTTCTGTGGGTCAGTTGCATCTTCAGGCTGTTGCATACTTTTGCACCTTTTGCTGTGTACAAATTTGATTAAATACCTTTTTAATCAGGATTGCACCGCTTAGCTAATCTGAGACATTGCAGACAAGGGGCTACTCTTTTTCTGGTTTCATGTTTTTTTTTTGGTTTTTTTAATTTAAAAAAGCTGTGAGATTTTTGAACATTTTAAAATTTTACAGTGATTCTTATTCACCAAGTCTATTCCATCTTGAGGTAATGCCAAGATGTGCCATGTTGTTCAGTGGCCTGAAAGTGTATGCAGACCGTTTGCAATGAGCTTTTATCAGTGAGCTCATATCATTTCATTTTGTGCTGCTAATTGTACTTCTTTAGAATCTTTACATAACAGGTTTTCTTGCAAACTCAAATACACAATCTGAAACTAGGTTAAGTCAGTGTGAATACCATCAGCTGAGCCTTGTATATATTCTTCATTTTGGTGTCTGGTAGCGGTAATGTGTCACTGGGTATCCGACACAACATATCCAGTTTTAACAGCTGTGGCCTTCACAAAGCAAATGCTGTTGCTGTCAACCAACATTTAGTGATTTCAGTGTTATTGAAGTCAGAAAGACTGGTTGTCTGGAAAACTGCTTCATTCATCTGATGAATCTCTGTGCAGTTCATTCACAAAATTCATGCGAGACATGAAGGACGTGTCACCCCAAGTATTTTCAAAATGTCCCAGTATGCTGTCATTTCACAGTTTTGCTGGAGAAGAGGCCACAGCTATCAAAACTTAAGAAATATCCTTCAGATGGTTTTCTTTTTTCCATCTCTGCTCTGATTGTTAAGCAGCATAATTGTGGCTTAGTCCCAGCAATATGAAGTACTGTAAACTACAGCTGACCAGTAGATGCTATGCCAACCACAGCCAGCAAACGGATCATTCTTTGTTGAAGGAATATGGACATTTATAGTTCAGGGACTCTCTTTACAATATTTTGTAAAATAGATCTATGTACTAAAGTGATGTGATGGACTTTGGTACACATTCTATCTTTTAAGATTACTAAAGGAGATGAGTGTCACTACAGTTTGCTGAGATATGTCAAAGATGGAATACTTTGGGAAAAAAAGAACTTAGGTGCACTTAACTTTTTTATACTAAACTTAAAATTTAAAATGTAAGTTTAGAATAAAGGTTATTTTGGAAATTTGAAATGCCGCAATTGTGTCGTTTAATTTTATTGACATGTACAATTTATTTGACCGAAGCAATCAAGATCATTGTGAGACTGGGTTTTATCTGGCATTTTGGTTATTGTAATTTTGTGATTATAGCTTCAGTGTTGTATTTTCCTGGCCAGACGTCATCACAGGTAAAGTTTTATCAGCTTGTTTGAGTGGGTCCCTCCACTGGCCTGGCCTTTATGCTAATATCAGGAATCAGTACTCATCACCCACCTTAGTATACAGAAAAACAATAGAAAAAAAAGTTTCATTTGGAGATTACAATAAAGTACTCTGTCTGTTCACACCCAAAATACTGTCACTTTGATATAAAAAAGGTATTAAGTCTAAGCATGGATCTGTATTTTTGTCATCCTACACTCCTGGTCTTTCTGAAGCAGCTGTATCCAGTAGTCCCCCATACTTCAAACCTTTATGAATCTTAATTTAACTTTAGCTGACATTGATAAATATCAATAGTTCTTTGAAGCTGTGGTTTGTCTTGTATTGAATACATTAAACTAAGGTGTTTGATATTTTATCAGCAAATCAATTCTAACACCCAGGATCAATGTAACTTCAGAATAGTGGGCGTTTGTGCTGGACTGTATGAGATTACCGTATGTAGCTAGGTGTGTCAAACTCACAACTCATGGTGATGTGTAGTATGTTGCCTCAAAGGTTTGAATTCTTTGTGCATCATTCACTGAGAGTCAGACCGTGGGCAGGAGTGCTGATGATTAAGACATCTATTACAAAATACATTACACATCATAAGCCGTAGTGCTGGATAATGGCGCACGTCCAGAATCATGTTTTATTGCCTTCTGTATTTACATCAAACTGGGACGCCCTCAGTAACAGTATGGTACGGTCTTACAAGCATACAAAACAAAGCCCGGCACAAAATCAAATGTTTGGCTGTCCTCTGTTCAAGTGAACAACACCGTTTCAGACTAGCTTATAAAAGAACTGTGTAGAAACATTTTTTTTAAAAGCAACTCAATATAAAAGTAACAGCACCAGAAAACAACTTGGTTTGTTTGAGGAAAGTGGCTTCTGAATCAAACGACACACTAAGAAAAACAGAAAAATGGCTGATAAATATTGTGTAGCGCACAAGCTAATCTTTCATTACAGCAGCTGTTACTGTAGACATTTTAAAATCCCACCACCTGTTTCATGCCTAGCTCTGCTAAGCTGCGCACACCTGTTGGTTGCCACCTGATCCACATCCATCAAATTCTCTCTTAGAATCTTATCTTTGATTTTTTTTTTTTTCCTGCACCTCAAACAAGGTTTATCTCTGACAGGTGTGCAGCAAGTAGCGGCCTTCAAAATGCAGATACAGGAAAAACAGTAAGTTTCTTCTTCATCCTCCACAGACTCACTCCCTGCTCGTCTTTCACTAGGTTCATATGAAGTATTCCTTCTTCTCACTCCCAGGCCGGTTACTGTTGTCGTCCTCTGGGTCCTCTCCTGGAGCCAGTTCCCCTGTCGTCCTGTAGTCTCCTTTGTTGTGGCAGAGATACCGGTACAGTAGGATGCCCAATGCAAGTACCGTCAGTAGGAGGAGAGCAATAACCACTAAAAATAAAAATAAATAAGGCAAAAATATTTAGTAAATGTAGCTTTACGATATCATGTAACAAGAAAAAGTTCCTTTACCTGCAATTACTACGGAATCTGAACTCGTGGGGGCAGCTGTTGTGACCACTGTAAAAACAAAACAGACGGTTTTTAAACCATCAGTGGCTGGTGAGAGATAAAGTAGAAGGGTCATGAGATTCTTATCTCACAGGTGGGGAGTGACCAGCTCGAGTGGAACCAGGCAAAAAAAAAAACAAAGTGTAGGCATTACCCTGAATCACAGTGGTGTCTGCCTGTGTAGGAAGTGGTGTTACTGGAGCTGATAAAACGACACAAACAACAAGGTTATGATATGTTAACCACAGCATTCAGTGCCAAGTTGTACATTCATAACAGATCTTTAAAAACATGCAGTGTGCTTACCTTGTGTCACATTTGTGTCTGTATATGTGGAGAGTGTTGAGGACACCATCTCTGAACCTGGAAAATGTAAATATGTCAGAAATGTCACAGGGTTTTATCTGCAGCACAGTGCTAGAAGCGACTTGTGTAACTGCATAGCTGAATATTAGGTCAAGTGTTGTGACACAATAATGGGATTACAGATGACTGGAACTGAAACAAACCTGTAAACCTCCAATTTATTTCAGAATCCTCTGTGATACAATGACATAAATCAACAAACAACAGTGGTAGAAGTACTGAAATCTGTTTGAGGAAAAAATAGCTGTACCACCCTTTAAATATATGCAATTAAAAGTGCAGTACTGTGCTAAAGTTCCATGAATCTGTCCACAGAAAACTCATCGGCAGCCATTTTGGTTCAATGCTCTAAAATGTGAGAATGTCTTGGTCTCACTGTAAACTGATCTGTTTTTTCCAGGTTAGTCAGATAAAACAAGACTCTGAAAGGTGCACCTTGGATTCTAGAATAGAATTGGAATTTGTCAATTGTGAAAATAATGGGTGTGGGGGATTAATCAATAAAAATAAGATGCTCCCCTAATCAAACAAATGTACAGTGTCAAAAGTCAAAGTAGGCAGCAGAATGACCCTAGTATTATATTATAGGATATTATGACTGATGCTTTTCTTGCAGAGGTGGAGCTCATTTTAAATACTGCAAAACAAGGCATAGATTAATGTGTAATAAAACATCACATTTGGGTTTAAAATCTGAAACATAAGAACTCTTAACTTTCAAATAAACATGGCCCAGGGTTAATATACTATCTGTGATGGTAAACTGAATATATTTGGGTTTTGATGTGTTGACAAAAGTGCTGTGTCACTTTGGCCTATGGAAAAATGTCATGAGGATTATTTTTTTTACAATACTGTTTCCAGCAGGCTGAAAAATAGATAACTGACATTATTATAGCTGCAGCCCTACACTCGGTGCGGTGCTGCAATAGTGTGACGATATAGGATACCGGGTTCACGATAACAAGACGAGACCATATTTTAAAAGTTTTTAAGAAATCTTCAATGACTGGAAAAATACTCTCTTGTTCGACTGAAAGTCACAAAATGCAAAACAAGGCAGGTGCATTTTGAAATGTTTTAACTAATCATCTGGTATTATATGTCACTTCAGTTCTAATTTCTCAGTATGAATTGTAATATGTGGTAAAATATCAATATGCAAACACTGTAACTCAGCTGGATGTTAAACTGTTTTGGTTTTTAATCTATGAATGCGGATATACTGGCGGTAGAATTGGTGCCAAGGTAAACGAGGTTTTGTCAGCAGCTTGGCTAACCACAACAAACACTCACGGGCTGGAAACGTGAACGAAGCCACTCACGTGTACTCGTGACATCGTGGCCGTATCGTACACACCTACAACACTCCCCCTGTAACCCCTCACCCTCCCAATAACGCAGCCCTGTGCGTTAAAACAAAGCAGGGAACTACATTTTCACCGGACTAATGTGAACGTATCGTCACACTCCATTGTACTGGCCTGGTTCAGTTATAAACTAATACTGCGACAGCGTTTGCCTCGACCATAAATATGTTTTAATATCGCGAGATTCACTGACACCAAATCTCGTCACATGCTATGTGGCTTTGCCCCAAACTTTCTATTTATCAGCTATGGATGGATTTGATAAACACAGATGTATGCTACATTACCACAAATTATAGTGCTCCTAAAAGTACCAAAACAATAAATAACAGCACACTACCTCTCTACCAGAGCATTAGGTGACATGATACATTAATGGTTGCAAAACAGCATCCTACAACCAGCTGATGTTACATGAACCTGGGGCTTTTGGGGCCAATAGAGGCTCTTGGGCCGCGTTGCTCATTAAGCTTTGGAAATCAAATGTATCACAGTACAGAAAAACAGACATTAGCAACTGTACAAATCAACACTTCGTAGTACTGATTTCATGCGTACTCATTATTTAGGTTTGCCGTTTAACTCACGGACAGAAAGAAACAGAAACAACCTGTGAAAATAACAGACATGTCCCTGGCAGTTCCCTAATAAAGTTTTCTAGAATTGGAACCATTAATTATCGTCAAAAGTTTTATTTTAAAATAGCCGGTGAACCGCCTTTTCTTCCACTGTTGCCGGCGACGCGCTTCATTACTCAGCTGACTTTCTTTGTCTTTGTGAACGAACTCAGCCTGGCTCTTGGAAGGGAAATAAACTTCTTCATCCTCACGCCCTCAATAATAAAACTCACTTTGCAAGGTAACCCAGAGGGAACTACAACGTGGGCTATTTTCTGATCAAATATTCATGAATTTCAAACGCTGAACAATCATTGTTCGGCCCGGCTGTTGAGTGAGCTTACCTGAGCGCAGCAGAGCGTCTCACAAACCTATTTAACTTTTTCCCAAACTAACTTTTACGCTGGAGAAAAATGGCCAACACTAGCCTACTAACTTAAATGTGAAATATAAACTCCGTGTGACTCTGTAGAGGCGTTTCGAACCTGCGTTTGTGAAATACAGTAGGCCCCCTCCAGCACTCGTGAGTCATGCAGGACCCGCAGACAACGCTCACGATTTCCGCCCTCCCTTCCTCCTCCGCTGCATGTCGAAGATCGTCTATGAGCGAGACGCACTACTCGCGGGTTGAAATCAGACTGGTGCTTGTTTCACTCACCACAGATGGTTTATAGCTACTGTATTTCGAATCAAGAATATGGCTGATAGTAAGTTGACAATGGCATCGGCGTTGTCAGCCCTTGGTCTATGTTGTGAAAGAAGAAAGAACATTGCGGAGGCGAAAAATAAGGAGAAACTACACTAAAATAAATCATGGATACTACTGCAACAGAGTCGATGAGTTTCCTGAACCTTTCTCTTGTTGTGCACTGATCAGCCAATCAGAGTGGTCAGATGGGGTCAGCTAACAATTCAACATGCTGAATCGAGTCTGACTAGTTCTAACAGTGTGGGGCACACCGCAATAGGGTGAGAGACGCTCACCGACGGCCCGACAGTCGCCTTAGGCCCAAGACACACCAAGCTGACTGTCAGCCATGAACATCTGTCACCCTAGTTTCTAACTACCTTTGACCACCAGAATCTTTTCAAATCATCCTTGAGTCCAAATGATCATAAATGGACATTTGTACCAAATCTGAAGAAATTTCTTAAATGTGTTCCTGAGACACCACACTCACTAGAATGGGTCACACGGGACAACCTGAATATAGAATCCCTCTGGCCACTGTTGTCTCCATCGCTGAGGTATAACAAGCCATGTGAAACAGCCCGAGGATTTAGTCTGTATGGTTAACAAAAATATTTTACAGTTCGGCCACACTCTGTTACACTTTGTCTGTCAAACTGACTATGTGGCAGATACAGAGTTTGTGTCACAGGGAAATAATCATCTGAATTTCTTGTCAGGTAGTAGATTTAAAAGGGTTCACACATAGACATTTTCTTAAAACTACACAGTTGAAACTTGTTTGAATGATTAAATATGTCTGTTGTCTGCAGTTGCTCCTGATGAGCTTTTTGACCTTTGTCCCATCATGTGTGAGTTCAGTTGTTTTCTCTGTCACCAAAAACCAGCACATGGTGGTTTCTATGTCTGACTGCCACAGTAAAAAAATCTTGTTACAGTTCAACAAGTGCCAGTCTTTGGGGCAAGTCAGCTACAACACATTTCAGGAAGCTCACGTCTATTGTTTTATTCTTATAATAAATGAAGCATAAGGAAAAAAAATCCACATTGTGTATTATCATATTTATCTAGTAGATACAGACCAACATCTCTTAGCCAGACATCATTACAAAATCAAATATTTTACCTCTGAAATTCAATAAGAGTCATTTTAGATGTAAGCTGTATGCAGCAGAAAGCCATATCCCATATAGGTTATGTTGCTGATGTTTACAAAGCACTGAAATCTGAATTTTGTACTAATTACCTACTCATCAAATAATATTTAAAAATAACAGCTAGTTTAAAGATGGCACAAAAGACTGGTTTATCTTACAGTATACACTCAGCCATTAACAAATTTAAATTTAATCTAAACATGAATGGAAAATGAATCCCAGCTGAAGCCCCTCGATCAAAACTTGTTAAAAATAAAACTGAAAAACAAAGTCAGCAGCAACATGAGAGTGGAGTTAGTTTAGTTCCTCGTGAAACTGAGACCACAACACAGCACCTCTTTCTACACAATGACCATGTTGGAGTCAGTATGTTTTCTAACAGTGTAAACCTATTAGTGCTTTTATGTTTGCTAAAGTTACATACAATATCTATGATTTTACCATGCACCAGTTTGGTACAGCATACAATAAAATGTATGTGTATACTTTTGACTGTCACAAAACATTACAGATGAAGTTTTACCCAAAGACACCTTATACTGTATTTACACTTGATCTGAATCCAAGATAAATAAGAAAACTAACAGCAACAAGTTAGTGCACAGCACATCATTCATGATACATTTCAGGGCGGCTGTCTCCACAGTTTTTCTTTTGTGCAGCTGTTGACTTCTGTCATATTCTGTTCAGACAGAAAGATTTATGAAAACAGGAACAAGAGGCAAATAAAAAAGAGAATTGACAATATGTGACTTTTTGCATGTATAGAAAACACAGGAACCTTTTAGTAAAGTGTGAAAACTCTAAACCACTGTGCTTTTAGAGTCCAGGGCGGTTGAGTTTTCTGCAGGAGCCTCCTAGACAGGACACAAAGAAAGGAAGAAAACAGGAGAGTCATGGCACAAAACAATGGCATATTCATAGCAAAGGCCTGCAGCACCAAGCATCAGCTGTGTTCTAATCAAATTACTGACCTTGTGAGAAATGCTCAGGTCCTTAGGCTCAGAGTTAAACCCAGAAATGTCACCATTCTCCAGTCCATTTGGTTTAACAGTATCAAGCATTACTGGGCTGTCTTCTCTTTCTTCAATGTGCAGGCTGTTTTCGGCAGCACACAGCTGCAGCTCCAGACTCTCTGAATCGCAGGAGTTGTTCGGTTCGGAGCTGCTCTCACTCAACGGAGCTTTCTCACCATTTGCTTTATTATCAGATTCTGCTGATGGTTTTGTTTCAGGCTTCTCCTCTTTTATGCTCTTCTCCTCATTAACCTGATTGTTGTCCTCTCCTGCCTTCAGTTCGTTTCCAGCCATCTCAACTGCAGATTCTTCTTGTGCAGGAGAGCTGCAGATCTCACTGTGGCTTGATTCTGCATCCTGGTCCCCAGACTCAGACGTGGGGCTCTCCAGAGGTGTTGCCTCTGGAGACAGAGGTGGTGGGGAGACAGCAAGGGAGCTGCTCTCTCTGGATAGGGTGCTGCGGAAAGGTTTGTCTGGGGACCTGAAACTAAACTTCTGACCATCTTTAGGATTGTAGTTCTTATGAAACTCAGAAAAGCTGGTTTTCCAGGCTTTAGGAGACATCAAACTTCGTCTCTTCAGGGAGCCATACCTGTAATGTTTAACAGAAAAAAAGCAAGACCTCAACGTATTAAAATAATACATCTCAATATTAATGTTCACCTGAAAGCAATTCTACTCAACATTGTGGCATGTGCAGCAGCCAAGGTATTGTCAATGAGGAAAATGCAAGAAAAACTACTTTAATACTGTAGTTTTGGGCCCACAGAGCAACTGTTTGGCCACGAAACATCATATCTGGACTACTGAGGTTAAATGTACAGCATTATGTGATCTGTGAAGCTAAAATGCAGAGCTTACCGTTGCATTCCCCTCACAACAAAGGCTTTGTCTGGATGCTGAGCCTGCAGCTCGTGTAACACGTTCTGTAGATCACGGTTGAGCTAAAAGAGGTATGATTAAGGAAAGAAAACTTTAATACTGAATGTTGTGTCCAAAATAATCTCAGCTGCTCAGCCAACACAACGCAGAACATACCGTGTTCATTTCCTTGTAAAAGATGCCTCGCAAACTTGACAAAGCTGAGAAGACAGCCACATAGCATCCAATACGGCTAAAGGAGCAAAACACTGACACATAAGAACCCCACAGATATCCACAGTTATCATATGGTAATAGAAAATATTCTACCTCACCTGTCATAAAGCACAGGCAGCTCTTCTTTTAGCTCACTGTTGATATATTCATAGACATGTTTGGCATAATTCATCTCTTCCTCTGCCTGAACAGAAAAGTGAAAAACGATGAAGACTGAAAAATCAAATACAGTTTTGATCAACTGTGGTTGAAAGGCACAATAGAAAAAGATGTGTACATTTTCATTATTAATGACCTTGTTTATCTTGATATCATCCTTCTTCTTAGCAGTCTGCAGTGCCTCCAGGTGGTGACGGGAAGAGTCATAGTCGATCAGTTTTCTTCCCCTCTTGGCAATTTTTTCCTACAGATGGAAAAGACAAAAGATCCAGATATATTATCTATGTGTGCATGTGTATGGGTACTTGTGTGTCTTTGTTGGTTTTAGTGTGTTTGCTCTCAGGCCTGAGAGCAAACAGAAATTTTCCCTGTATATTCAGTTATGTTTGCTTTACTAGCTTCCTAATGCCTTACCCTGACATCTGGAAACTGGTTCACATAGGACTCCATGGTGCGTACGCCCTGATCTAATAGCTTCGCCTCGTAGTCATTCCACAGGAGGTTCTCCCCCTTATTAAAAAGTGCAGCATACATATTGCATTAATTATATATGAACAGAGAAAGAAAAATGAGGGAGTTTCTGTTTCCTGTGGCAATGTCTGACTCTTGCTGCTTTTGATTTTACCGGCTCTGACCTCTACAATAGCTCCCAAGTCTTCCCCTGCAGCCCAGTCAGTTTCATAAACATCAAACAGAGACTGGAAAAGGCGTGTGGAGGCTTCACGCATTTCTGGAAAAGCAGACATGTCTGTATGAGATCAGCAGAGGACACAAATCTACAATTTTGCAGTGTCTAGAAGCAAAAAAAGCATGCTTCACCTCTGACTGCATTAATGTAGTTCCTCAGGTCCTTATACATTCGATTACCATCGATCTGTAAATCGATAAGAGGTTTGCATGATTGCCACTCTTTAGATTTATTGATCTTATAACAGTGGGTTTACTGACTAAATGAATCAGTCATCCCTGTGTTTATATATATATATATGATAAAACATTGTAAAACAACAGTGGAAAATCATTTTTTATTGTTCAAACCTCTAAGAGCATTTTACTGTCCGAATAAACATCCAACAGTAAGTCCATACATATTCACCTGTTGGTCATTAAACAGTTGGAGACAATATTCAAATTGGTCATCTCTGGTCTCCACAGTCTTTCCCAGCTTTTGTAGCACCTACAGAAAAACCAGATATCTCAACATAACAGTGATAAATGGTGAGAAGTGCTTTCACCTGTTATTTGGAAAATAAGCTCCTGCAGGCTTTTACCTTTTCTTTGCTTCTGCTCAGCTGTCGTTGGACTTTCTTAGCAAAGTCACCAGAGCTGCCTTTGGGACTTGTGCTCTCTGCCATATTTTGTTGTGTTTGTATTTATTCCTGATGATGAAGCAAAGTGCAAAGAATACATTACATTAATGGAGTATAACCAAAATTAAACTGTGGTGTTACAGGCCAGTGGCATCACCTGGCAAAAATTTATAGAGCGAATACATTTTTCTTGAAAGCAACATTAGGATGATATTTATGTATGCTGCCATCTAAATATTATTTTCCACATTAATTTAGACTATTATCCCTCTCCATCTTCTCCAGCCACCAGAGCGCTAGACTCAAGACTGTTGGAGAGCAACAATACCTCTAAACCACCCAGGGTTGCACATTAAAACAAGCACTTTACAACCATATACTGTTCAGGTATGGATGCTTGTCACCACTTGTGTATTGGAACGTAGTGGTGAGATCAATAATCAGATCAATTAGTAATCATTTAGCTAAAAGTTGTTACATTATGTTATTGTATATTTTACACTGACTTATTTTTGCATTATTAATCTGTATAGAATTTTATTGCATATAGTTCAGTCAGTTACAATGCATCATATTTCACAAAGGTCTTTATATGTTTTGTAGGATAGTTTTAAGCTGTCATGTGACTATTAACCATAACTTTCAGATAAATAATGAATGTGTAAAAAATAATATTTCTCTTTGAGATTTAATGGAGTAAAACAGAGGTGGAATGTAAGCGCAATTTCTTAATGACTTTACTTCTACAAGGTGCAAATATGAGAAACTTGTGCTTTACTTGATCATTTCCATTTTGTGCATCTTTATATCACACCAGTTCAATTTAGATGAAATGTTGGAGCTTCTTTTTCCTCCACTACATTCATTTGAAAGATTTTGTATGCAAAACATGATGAGCTCATAAAATATAATTCATAGTTTTGATTATATAAAATAGCCAAACTTAGCTCCTCCCCCACCAGCTACCACAGTATAAGGCTACGTATACCTAAATGCATTAGGATTAATAATCCATTTCATTAATACTTAATTATTAGCCTAGTTATAACATTGTGTGTGTGCTTTTCATGGGCTACTTAAGTCCTTTCTGAGTAATGACAATGCTTCCTCCATCACAAAATAAAAAGTACAGTACAAATATGGATGGACCCAAAACTTACCAAAAAAAGGAAAATAGAAGACATTTTCTAAATGGAATGTAGACGTTTCCACTTGGTAAATGTGATTTTTTTTTTCTTTTGAATTTTGGGTTAAATAATCCTCCATAGTCAAGTAGCACAATACTGTAGCCTGCTATCAGTAGGCCACCTGAGGCTTCATCTACCTCCAATGCGGAACCCCGGATGTTTTGGTAACCGTTGCTCTAATGACTACAATGCCCACAATTCCATTAAGTGACGTCACGCCCACTTATAGCAGTGGTGAACTTCGGTCAGGCTGCGTGGGAAGAAGCTTGGCTCCGTGACACCGCTCTAACCTTGTGCTGCTCGCCGCGCCGCACGACGCGATCATGGGGAGCGCGCTGGTTAAATGCGCCGTCACCGACCTGGGCATCCAGTGGGCTGGCTGGGCTGTGGCTGCGGCTCTCAGAACCGAGAAGTTTTATGACTTGGCGGGTAAAGTGAACAACTAACGAACGCTGTTTTGCAGCCATGTGTTGACTGTTGTTTGTTTTTGTTTATTATTCAGCAGACAGAGAAACGAATTTAACGGCTTCATTAACCTTAATTCAGCTGCGGGGCTGTAATATCATTTAAAATTGCATTGCGTTTAGATGTTGAATGTTCATCATTACAAACCCTGTGTTATAACAGCTGTGTTGTGAAACAGCCCCAGAGCTCCTCCTCCAGCATATCCACATTCTTTTCTGTTCATTTCAATGGGAAAGTCTGTTCAGACTCTTGGTAGGTAGGCTGAAGTAGATTCAGCCAGTTTATCTAAGTGGATCTAGTTCATCAGGGGCAGACAGCACAATCCTGGGAATCAGGATTTTCAAAAAAAAAGGGGGTTTGTTTGTGGGCCCCAGACAAGAAGGAGCCTCTCCTGTAGTGAGGACACCAGTGTGCTGGTCTCACCTTTACCCTGGTTAAAACAACAACAATGTAGCACTGGCATTGGATTGTCTTTTGTGTTAGTAAACTCAATCTCTCTAAACGGAACAAGCAATGGGAAGGTGTTACCTTGGGCTTTATACATTTTTTCATTTTCTGAAATCTTCATACGGCAAACAATCAGTTAATGAAGAAATAGTGGCAGATGATTTGATAATGATAATAACTGGTAGCTGCAGCCCTTCAGGCTGTGAGCTTTAATTAAGTGCTAGACATTTGTGGCAGCTTATGAAGGAATGCTAAGGACAGTATCAATGAGGAAGTTACAGATTTGCAGTTAAACAGGACAGGACAAGGTGCTGATTGGCTCACATACAGTCAATCATCAGATCACTTGTTACATGTAAAAACAGTGTAGCTTACCTGTCGGGACCAGATATTAATTCTTTACTTTCACAAATGAACCACCACGACACTTATCTTGTACTCGTCCTCTTTCGCTTCTCCACTCCTCTCTGTGCTGCTGATACTCTTACCCTTGAACTTTGGAACCAACTGTCTGCAGTATCCTGGGTAAAAGATTTATCGAACACGCCTTACTCCGTCCACCATGACCATGTCCTAACCTTCCTGACTCTGCAACTTGTGTCCCTCTCTCTCTTTTATTCTTTTGGCAGGATCTGCCACATTTATACTACTTGCGCACCTGAGTCGTATCTGGGGAGGAGCCAGTCATGTCCGACAGCAGGTGCAGACTGGACTGGTGACAGCATGGGGACTCAGGTGAGTAAGGCACCATTGAAGGTCAGAGCAAGAACTAATGAATCTAAAACTCATGTTAATGTATGATGCCTTGGTTAAAGAGAGCGTATATTAACTATGCGCTTTGTGCAGGCTGGGTACCTTCCTCTTCATGCGGATCCTGAAGGACGGACATGATCGCAGGTTCAACAATGTCAGAGACAGCCCAGGGACTTTCTTTGTATACTGGACTATTCAGGGTACTTGGAAGTGATGCAAATGCCTTCTTGTTACCATAGTCCTTGACCAACTCAGCACTGAAGTGAAGGCAGGGTTGCCTTGTCTAGGTTCTTGGTCTGTATGTGCAGTTATTGTAGGTTGGAGCTGTAAATGCTTTTAGTTCATCACAGTGAACAAGGCTGGTTGAACATCATTTGTTTTCCTGTTTCTCTAGCTGTGTGGGTGTTTGTGACCCTCCTACCCACCCTCATCCTGAACAATGAGAAGCGAGACACACCTCTGGGAGCGAGAGACTATATTGGCTGGACTGTATGGGCACTTGGCTTCGCTACTGAGGCTATTGCTGACCAGCAGAAATGGCTTTTCAGGCGAGACTCACACAACGCTGTAAGTTAACAGCTTAAGTCCTGCAACCACAAATGGCATTAATGCCTTTCACTGAGTCTAACAACTGTACCTCCTGATTTACTGTTGTGGCTCCAGGGGAAATTCATCCAGAGTGGACTGTGGGCCTACAGCAGACACCCTAACTATTTTGGAGAGATTCTGCAGTGGTCAGGTCTGTGGCTCTCAGCCTCATCAGTGATGCAGGGACCTCAGCTGAGTGTGGGGTCCCCGCTCTTGGTCTGGTTCCTGCTACGCTACGTCAGCGGTATCCCCATCCTGGAGAAACAGGCCATGAAGAGGTGGGGCTCTGACCCAGCCTTCCAGGCCTACATCAGGAACACCCCTCTTCTCTGGCCATGGCCTAAACTTTGATGTTGTTGGACATCTACTCAACTTTTGCATTAATAATTGTCACATTCTGAACAAATTTCAAAATATTTTTGGGTCTGACAGGAGAGATTAAGTATTTTTATCAAGACTATCAAGATACCCTTTAGTCTTGACAGCAAAGATGCTTGTTCTCATTCACTTGAGTTGTTAGAATCATGTGTCGAGGTCTGAATAGTTCATAAACTGGTGGTTTGAGAGCAGATGGCAAGTCTGTATCAAGCTGGACCCATCACTCAACACCAGAGGCTACAACACCATCCTAACAACCCTCCCCCTTCCACCTCGACTCAGGACTCTTAACATGTATTTTTCAGTTCTATTTTTTGGCCTTTTAGCATTAATTTTACAGCAAATCACCCTGACTCAACATGTCTTACAAGCCAAGTGAACTAACCCACATGCAGCTTTAACCACTCAAGGTTTAAATAAAGGTTAATGCTGCATTCATGTCTTAATCCAGTTGTATTTCTGAGTATCTAATGCATAAATATCATTCACATCAACATCCAAGTGAGACATACGACCTGGAAACTCAGATTTTTCTGAAAGCTCAGATACATTCAACCGGACACGAAACTTGTAAGAGGCTAAAAACCAGATTATTACACCAGCCAAAGATCATTAATCCAAATGTAATTTAAGTCTGAACAACAATAATAAGGTGTGATAATGTCAAACTATTTTAATTATGACAAGTCTAATCATAGAATCATCCTAATGTCTCAAGGCAGATGTTGTTTGAATTGTACTTTATAAGTTAATGGATTTTAGAAAGCATATTTGTACTAATAGCTGATCAAATAATGCCACAGCAAATAAACTGAATATTCTTACAAAGTTAAGTTTTGTTAAAGAGCACGGCTCACAACAGCCTCCTATAGTATACACATTACACAGCAATAGACACTGAAGGAGTAAAGTAACTGGACAAAGATAACAGCCTGCAGCATAAACCACTGGACAATGCTTCTGGTGATCACCGGCTGTGCAGGACACACCGTAAAACACAACGCGGCAACATTTCAAAACAGTGGCGTCTTTTCCAGAGACTGATCACTGCCAGTAATAATCATCACACTCAGTTAAGCAAGATCTTACACTTGAGGTTTTGTAATTAAAAGATGAAATGAACTAGGCATGTGCTTAAACATTTATAGTAAAATTCTCCAAGGGATCAAAGAATCAAAACTGAATAGAAGTACAAACATCCAAACTAGAACATATGGTTACAAGCAGCCACACATTCAATTAAAACTTTGAATGAAATTAGATGAACTGGCTCTTCAGCTTCTGAGTGACACATGAGCTGAAAAGCTGTCAAAAATGATTAGATTTACAATCACATCACAACTGTATACATTTTCATCTATAAGCACACTTCTTAAAGGGTTAAAAGGAAGAATCCTTTTACAAACATGCAAACTCATACCAGTCTGAAATACTACAAGTGTTATAATATATGGAGGAAGACTACGATGGAGGCGTTCATAGCAGTTAGAAAGCAGCCGGCCCCTTGTTATGTGCTATGTGTATTAAAATGTAAATGACGCTGGTTGTTTCAGGTGCTCTGGATTATTTGAGGAGTGGAGATGAGAAAAACTTTCCTTGGCGAGAGAACCCAACCGCTGATTTGCTCTTGCTCCCAAACCTGCAACAAGGAGTGCACATCATGATGTTTAATGGAATTAGGAGTCAGAATCAATGAAGGATAATATATTTTACAGCAGATTAACTTGTACGTTTAAATGAATTAGCTTTTTCTGTAAATTTGAAACAAACCAAAAAAAAAGTACAACAGTCATTCTAGAGCCAATTAATCATTATTATGGATTGTAAAACCAGTGCTGTGGTTGTACAACAGTGGGCAGGAGGAGACTAAGCTTGTGTGTTTACCTGGGTGTCAGACTGGACTTCATGCGCTGAGACAAGGAGCTGGACGAGGGGGTTTTATTGAGCTGGTGCTCTGGAGTGGTCAGAGGTCCCAGTATGCTCACTGCAACAGCGCAAACATTAAAATGAAATGTCAAACAGTAAACCGATGTGCAGAACAACACAAAGTTTAGTGAGTCTGTACCTCTCTCAGGGGTGGCATAGCAGTTTGCGTTCTCAATGACCAGATGGTCCAGGTTGGGCTGCACGTTTTCCGACATCACAAACTGGCCCCAGTAATCCACAGGCAAAGCCAGCAGACGCTCCACCACCTGAATAGCAAGAATTGGTAAAGATGCAGAAGAGCAGGGTTATTTCAGTGTGTTGCCTCACCCTCCTCCAAGAGGGCCTCGCTGGGCATGAAGGTGCCTTCAGCGAGACAGAGGGGAAATACTAAAAAACAAATGTGTAGCGTGGTAATTTACTTGACTGCAACATTATATAGGAAAGAGATTTTTGGTGGCCCAACTGTTGGAACTCTTACATTAGGCCGGTATACAAATTGTCAGAAAACAGCAATCTTCTGCCACTTAACATCATTTTTAATTTAAAATGATATCAGTCTAGTGGTACACAGAATATATTATACATACCAAGCATGACAGTTTGTTCAGGCCCACCTTAGCTTGTCGTTTGGTATCCTGCAGGATTGTCATAGGGTCCGGGTTGGGAAGCGCATGACCCACAATAGTTGGACCAAAAACTCGAGCCAGGTTACTAATGTCCATCTTAGTGTCCAAACTGTCTGCAACTCTGAAAGATTTTATTGCATTCACTTAGGTCTATCCGATACGACATCACACAGCCACAATCTGAGGTGTATTTTAAATTAAATGCTGTTAACCAAATGTCTAATGCTCAGTCTGAAAATCAGCAAATTAGATCCAGCTGAGTTGTTTATAACATTCGGAGCACATTTTTTGCCTGAAGAAGTTTAACCCAATTAAATTTAGAGGATGCAGTAAAATTCAAATAAGGTTGGTCACAGAGAGACCAGAGCATTCTTTGAATATTAGCAAATCCCAATACTGAATTTGTAGCAGGAATAAAGCCGAGTGAATGCTCTTAATCAGGTGCGCTGGGACATGCATCACTCAGTCGGGTATTTGATTATTATATTTAGAGGAGAGTAGCTGCTAACCTCTGGAGGTGAAGGACTAAGAAAGCCAAGGTATCTCTGTTGGGCTGTGGCAGGTCACTGATGGTTTGGTACATCAGAGCTTTACTGTTGTCGTCGTCTGAAACCTCTAAAGGGAGGACAAAGAAAATGGTTCTGTCAGCAGAAACAGAAGGCTGTGTGGATTCATTAGCTAATTTAATACGATATGAATATATATATATAAACAGCTACTAAAAAGGCTAACAAACTGAAAAGATCCAGTTCTCTTTCTGGCTGTGGAGTCCTCCACATCAGAAACAGCTGCCAACACCAGTCACATGCACACACATTACCAGCTGCCTCCATGAAGGCACGGTTGAGGCGGAAGGTGACAATAGGTTCCTTGAGGTTCCTCAGAAAGTCTTTCAGGAGGCCAGTGATGGCATGGATGTCGTCCACCTTGCTGAGCACGGGAACCGTTTTGCTGCGGAGAAACTTCTCCTTCAGCTCCTTCACTGTACGATCTACACCAGACAGGCGATACAGCCCAGCCTGAGAGGGAACAAATACAGTTATTCACTATTATTTAATTTTCTTCTGTGACTTTACTTCCTGCCAGTTATTTTCTGGACGATCCTCTTTCTACCTCAGAAAATAATGACAGTCCATGGTGATATATCCAAAATGACTGTTTTCTATCAGCAGTTCAGATATTCAGTTTACTATCAGATTCAACAAAGCGGCAGTGACCCCTGGATTAGGGGTTAAAATGTCGATCATCAATCAGTCTGAACAGAGCCACGGACCTACAGTATGTTGGGTGTCTCTCCGTCATCTCCTGCCATCTCTTTACCATCATCATTATATTGTAAAAGCACAAGGTGCCATAAAAACAACAGCTGAGAAGCTGCAACTGGCAAAAAAGTTTAACAATAGCAAAACAGGTTCTGTCAATGGACGATCAGTGAAGCTTTAGCTATATTCCCACATCACTGAATGGTGCAAACAACATTACTCATGAGGTCAACATGTGTCAATGCAATTCTAGCCATAAGGCAACATCTCATGACCATCTCATGAAAAAAACGCCACAGAACAAAAGTGAAAAACAAAGATGAGACAACATCAACCAGGAAGGAGAGACAGCAGCACAATCACCCAGTAATTAACAAATTTGGAGGCCCTCCATGGCCCAATTATGGATTTAATCTCCCAAGAACAGATTGTAAAATCTTAGTTACAGCTCTGTCTTGGTTTAAGGGGCAAACCATTAAAAATAACTACTGAGAAGTGAGGCTTTACTGTGCTTCGTATATCTGCATATTATTAGGACAGGAAAATGCCACTCACCTCATGCAGGCCTCTTTGCTCGATCTCACTGATACAATGGACCACGAGAGAGGGAATCATAGGTGACATGGAAGGGACATAGTCTGCAAGCACGCCCTGGAAGTGAATGAGAGACGGAGGTAAACTGTGATAAGACAAATGAGGAAATAAAGTGTACATGTACGTGCCTGCCATTAAAAACTGTTCTCACACACCTCGCCAATTTTGACTGGTGTACCACCCAGGTTGGGGATGCACGGCAGAGGGCAACGCTCCCGACACTCGGGGTGCGATACTACTCTGCAGTCACGGCACTTCAGTGAAATCTTGCCAAACTTGATCCTCTTTCCACAGGGCACGCAGGATTCAGGCTTAATGACCTATAGAAGATGTTAGACAAGACTTAAGAGGCTGGAAAAGTCAGTGAGTCGACAGCTATAACATGTTCCATCCCACAAATTTCATTAAATTAACTCCAGTAAAAGCCCTGCTTAAATAGAAGTGCACACATAAGGACCAGTTTGAAACAATTCAATACCAGTGCCAATAATTTTCTGCAAAGACAATGACTGTATTTTGGCAAAAAAAAAAAAAAAGTGACTTTAAAATTTGGAAATGAAAAGTGGCCATTCTTACAGTTTTGGAGACAAACTCATGGAGACGGACACCTCCATTGCTCTGTGGAGTGCCAGGCCCGGTTTTCGTCTCTGCCTCAGGAATAGCGGGATGCTTGAAGACATCTTCAGACTTGACAGATTCAGAGTCCCACTCCATGGCAGCTGAACGGGAGATAACAAATACCATTGTGCACTTGTGAGAAAACCTACCATCAACTTACTGCTGCTGCATGTTCAGTCTCTAGGAACTGAATTATGTTCAATTTTACCATGGCTACATCACATGCCTTTGAAAACATAGATTTAGTGGATGATAGTTTGACACGAGCCTCAGTTTGTCAGTTCTTGCAAACTGAATTAAAATGCATCATGTTTCCTGTACTTGAAAATAAAACCATTCTTTTAATGGATTTCAGCCCAGATTAACATTAGGACAGGGTAATGACGGGGTCTTCACACTGATCTTACCAGTCTTTCTCCTGCTGCGAGTCCAGTAAGGGACTGTCTCAATGGTAGAAACTGCCTCAACAGGTCCTCCATTTGCAGGTACAGTCACCGTGGTCTTTGTCACCACTGTTTCATTTCCCTGTCACAAATACATTATTAGCAACATAACAAAAGAAAAACAAACAGTCATCAACCACATACAACCAGCCTATGCCCAACAATGACTTTTATGATCTAGTTACAACAAACCATCAGTTTTTGGCAATGTATAATGACACCAAAAACTTAAGTGATTAAAAAAAAGATGATAATATTCAGCCTGGAGCAAACCATACCCTGCCTGATGTTCTGCCGGACGATCGAGACTTTTTGGAGGCCACTGGAGGACCATCAACAAGGTTTCTCGAGGAGCGCTAAAGTCAGAAAAGCAGACAGGACATATACACCTCCAGTAAACATGAAGCCATTCTTCAAAAAGAAAGGTTTCAAGACACATAGTCCACATGTACTTCATACCCTCTTTTCTCGTTTCTGGAGTCGCACCGTCCTCACGTTGGAGGAGTCCCAGTCCTGTCATAGATAAAGCACATCAGAATCAGATTTACAATGTATACATGCTATTTTAACCCTAAGCAATGCTGAACAGGAAGGTACTTACAAGCGAGTCATCCGTTTTATCATAGCTGATATCTGACAAGATGGAGGCGGATTCATCTATGGTTGTCAGTCTGTCAGAAACAGAGAACATGTTGAGCTACTCGGCAGTGCTTCCCACTTTTTAGGTTGTCAACTACAATACACTTGCCAATACATTTTTGCTTTTTGATTTATTTGTAATTTTATCCTTTCAAAAATCTAAACAAATGCATTCATGTGAGAAATCGATGGAGATGGCAACAAATAAAGAAAATGACTTTCATAGCTGAAAGTTCGCTTGTGAATACAATGCTGGAGTCTCTGGTGTCAGATGACCCCACATGCGTGAAATCCCCCACAGAGGGAGCCCATACGGTTTCAGAAACCAGAGACTGGAACCATAAAACATCTCAGTACTATATACATATATATACACATATACACATATATATGGGGGTACCTTACCTTCGGCTGGTATTTAGATTGGCTGCTCCCTGACAGTTTGTGTTCAGGAAGGCCAGAGCTGAGCGCTGCTCTGCACTCAGTTGGATGCTGGTTGAGGATCCCTCACTGATCAGAAGGTCACGAATCAACTGAATTTGACGGTCCTGTATCATACAAATACAAAGAGAGGACACATGAGAAACCACTTGAACCAGACTAAATCAACACATATTAGCAAGCGCGAGTTGCCGCTTGATCAAACATACCAACTTCTCACAGTCAGCCTCTGCCTTTTGTCTACGCCGGATCTCCACATCAACTTGGTTGCGAGCATGTTTCAGTTTAACCTCCAAGGCCCCCTTCTCTGTCTCCGTTTTGGTGAGAACCTCTTTGCAACACCCCAGGTCCTGCTCTGTCCTCAGCCATTTGCGACGGCAGTCATCAAAGTTTTGTGCCATTTGAATAAAGCCTGGAAAAGAAGATGAATGCAGTATTGGGACAGGAATCTATTTAAAGAGCTAAGGCATCTAAACTGTGTCAAATGATACTTTTTAAAGGAAAAACCCAAAACCATAAACCACTCACTGGGTTCAACATTCTCATTAAGAAGGTCAGCTTGCATCCTCAGCTTATCATATAGGCTCTGGAGGCTCAGCACAGCAGTTTCCATGATTTTCTACAATTCAAGAACCTGAAAGAGATGAATTATAAGGTAAATGTATTTAAATTACAGGACAAAGGTTCTAGGCACCTTAGATGTTTAGATTATCTTTCATCATGCAATACTATAGTGGTATCTGTGTGGTCTCCAATTCATTCTGCACTGAAAAACGGTGTGTAAGTGTAAGGAGGACTGATGCCATTTTAAAGGAAATGGGTGGTCACACCAAATACTGAGGTTCACTTTTTTTCTGTACTTAGTGTGAAATGAATTGCTAAATAATTGAACTGATAACTGAGTAAAAAGACTATCCATAGCACTACTCAGGACTACTCTAGCATACTCACTTTAATGTTAGTGCCTATAACTTTCGCACAGTACAGTACTGTAACGTTAAACTGAGCTGGTGTATAACTGCTTTTCAAAGTAGCTAAATTAAGACAGACAACAAAAACATATTAAATAGCCCCAACACATCAACAGGTTCTCTTAAATTTTACTGAATGTAAAAAAAAAACCCCATAAACAAAAAACAAGAGCACTTCGTGTTCATCTGTCTGTTTAAACATTCTGATTTCTTTACCCTCTCTATGGTAATCAACCCGTATCTTGTTGGATCCTACTGAAAATATAAATCTAAAAACGACTCGCAGATACCTGGTTTCACTTCACATATGAATATGTATTCCTCATTACACAACGTTTGGTTCATTCGCTAAAGAAGATATGGTCCATTTGTTTGTGCTGTGCAAATGCACAGGGAATACCTTTAGGGTTACAGTTAGCTTACCGTTAACAAGAAACACGACGGTTAGCTACAGTTGGGCATCAGTTAGCTGCTAACACAAAGATAACTTCTGTTTTATTGCTCATGTTTGCAATCATTAGCTAGCAACACTTACCTACCGTTTAGTTTCTGAAGAAACGTTGGTTTGCAAAACCCTTTCTGTTTTTATTTCCCCACTTCTTTAGCGACCACTTTGTTCTAACTTTGTTCCAACTATACTCTACGGTGAGCGCGTTGCATTTCAAATTTCGCCGTTAGCCAATGACGACAGACACTGCGCCGAATGGACAGCTCTGAAGATCACACCCCTGTGTACGTCAGCCATGACGTCACTAGAGGTTAGGCCACCAAAATGTGACTTTATACATATAAATATTGATAAGGATTTTAATCTGTATTGGAAGAATGTTCTGTTTGGTTGCTTAGAAACACGATTCTCACCTCATGTATATGTTTGTAACTTGCTAATTCTATTGGCTAAATTTCATATTCACAAATGTAAATTTGCAAAGAGAAAACCTCTATTTTTGGTCTTTGTAAAGGAGTTCATACAATACATTTCTTCAATATATTTTTTTGATAATACAAAGATTAGCTCTTTTGTGTTCTTTGTCTGTCTTTTATTTGTTTCTATTCAGGTTCGGTGATTGTATTTTGAATGCACTGTTATATCTTTGTAAAAAAAAAAAAAAAACATTCGTGCGAAATGAAAATGAATGACAGTTAGCATAATAGCAAAATTTTATTTACACAAAGCCAAATTTATGAAGTCCCCACCTACTTTTATCGTTTTTACGCCTACGAATTTCGACTGTAAGCCTACTGTAAATACCTAAAATGCATGAATCTTTAAACTTTAAAAGACATACTGCAAATTCTGCAAATGTGCTAACCTTTAAATGAAGGCCAGTTTGTTAATTTATTGATTTTTTGGTTTATTTAGCCCATTGTATTGTTTTTCCCTACTATTTACAATCTAGTTTAGTTCATTCTCTTATTTGTATACAAATAATATTGGTTATAGCAGATGGCAGTTTCATTTTTGTCATAGACACCCTAGAGGTCGACCATTTTTTAGACTTAGCTGCTATCTATCTATCTATCTATCTATCTTTTCATATTCATTCTTTTCTCCACTAGCTGTCCTGTAATTCCATATCCTGCCACACCCACCTACCTGATTTACAGTCACCTTATGAGTTGTGTTCCTGAGTCCAATGATTTCTGAGTTGATACTGAACTACAGAGCAGACCATTCTTAGAATAATGATTATCAATAAGGAGTGAGTTGTTCATCCCTACAGCTATTGTCCTTCATAAGTCATATCTGTACCTGTGAGAGTTATTCAGAAATTCCAGCATTGCCCATATTAAGCATGAGTTTTCAATATAGCTATATATTACACAGGTAACTTGCATACTGACTTATGACACTATACATGGGCTTATTTTATTTAGCCTACTCAGTTTTGGCAGTGAATGCTGAATGCTGCTGAATTGGTCTGGAGTCAACAGTGCCATGATTTATTTCTGAGCCAATCAGTAGTCTATAAGCAGATCAGAAACAGGCGAATGAATGAACGCGAGTGGAGAGAGAGAGAGAGGGAGAGAGAGAGAGAGAGAGAGAGAGCATCAGCGCAGCTAGGACAAACTTGAAGCAGAACATGCAGAAGAGGCTCTGCAAGGCAACAGTGCAGCTACTTGGTGGGTTCTGAGGCTACAGACAGCAGAGCCTGTTACGGATTACAATGATTGCCACAACTCAACAAAACATGACCACGGAGCTGGTATGTGTGTGTTTTATCCCTGCTTAGTTTTTTCATGTCCAGAGCATGTGTGTGTATGTGTATGTGCATGTGTGTGTGTGTGTGTATGTGGTCTGTGGGGGGAGAGTGCTCTGTTGTGCAGCAGGGAATTCCTAAAGTATGCCCACAATACGATGCCTGTCGACAGTTGTAGCCGTTTTCAGCCATCCAGACTTTTTCATATGAATCCTCCGGAGCCCCTGTAGGCTGCGGTGCAGGTCGGTGTAACTCGACGTCCACTGCCTCTCACTCTTATTGTCTTTCTGTCCCATGCAGACTTGTGTGATATCTGCAATAACCACGCTCGTTTTCTAATATTCAGACAGACTAAGATTTTGTCCCAGCAAACTGGCCATGGACGCGCACAGTGAAACGGGGCTCAGAGCCACTGGACTGTGTGATTGATGATCCCTCCGTCTAGATGTATTGTAAATGAACAAAGACTATGAGTGAACATATTCTGTTTATTGCCCACATTGTTACCGCTCTTACCTGTTTATTTATGCACCTCTCATGCTTATAGGTTCCAGTTAGTCTTTTTCTGCCTTACTTAAACGTTTTTATATCTGAACCAACTTGTGAGCACACAATTAATTTCAGATATTACATGAATTGCAATGCTAGTCATGGCTTAAAGTGTGTAGAATTGAAATTGCCAATGATTTGCTGTAGCCTAATATAATATTAGTGCCAGTGTAAGGGGTTTGGTATCAGATTACTGTAATAATTACTCTGGATTTACAGATTGATTTCAATAGGATTTACATAATATCAATGCATAACTTTCATGCTTTGAATAAAACTTCCTTAGGCTGCATCAGTCATTTCCCAGAAATATTACTCTGGTATATCTGTTTATCTACAGTTCACTGCAAAGATTTAAATCCTTGCCAAATGGACTAAATCACAGATTAACATCTCATCAAACTGTCACCCTTTTTGATAAAGAGTTACAATCAGGAGATCTTCAATTCACAGCTGCCCTGGCAAGCAAATAGATTATTAGTTAAATTAAGTAATTGGTATGTAATATGTTTGATGTTATGTGGTGAAAGGCTTAATAATACTGCAGCGATATTGTCTCCTTAGGGTCACACAAGGCTGTGGGGCTTACAGACAATCCATCATCTGCAAGTGTCACAACATTTAATGCCACAGACTCTAATCAATATGTTTAGTAACATAATTAATGAGTTGACTCACATTTGCTCTTTTTAAATAAGGTGTTTATTGTTGTTGACTGGGTTGCAGATTGAATGTGAATGTGTTGATGAGAAGACAGATTAGGGGATAATGGGGGTTGCAATAATGTTAGACATGCCGTAGGCTCCCAGTGCATTGCAGAGCCAACATAAAATGTCTATACCACTCATTATCATAACCAACTAAAAAGCAATAGCACAATGTGATGCCATGAAAACAAAATGCTTCAGTTCATCCCTAGCATTAAAGAAGAAAATGAGGGGGATTTAATAATTTGCTTTTACAAAGGTGTTACTGTTTAAGTATTCATCCACATACCACAAGCATCTTAAAAACATATCATTTGCTGGTATTTCTGTAACATCCCAGCCACGTATTCTTTCTCATGCATGTATTACTATTACTATCTCATGTCACCTGCAACTCTCCTGCATGTTTTACTGATGCTGCTTGTTTCCTGAGACAGAAACTCGGCCACTGCGACTGGCAGGACATGTTGAGGAAAACCTCCTTCATACAGGACCTTTTTGTACACTAATGTGCTTATGCTTGATGGGTAGCATGAAAAGAACAGGATGGCAGTGCAGCCTCACAGCAGCAGACATTGGGTCTTTCATTTCACTAAGGTTTGTAATGTGTTTTCTGGCAGTAGCCTCAAGGGCAAAGAATATGCCCAGTTACTCCCATGCACGACCTACTCAGTTTTTTAGATAAGAAAAAAAGGGAGAGATGGTGGCGCATTGAGTAGGACCACAGAGATGAAACATAGTCTGAATCAGTATTGACCTGTATGTATCATTACTACAGCAGATTGGCTACCATTTATTCCAACCAGACTAAAGTTATAACCTGCTCTACCTGTGACCTTCATTTTAACAGAGATAAGGTAATACAAATGTGGGTTACTTGTTAATCTATAGCTTTCCCTTGTGAGCAATTACAGTGAATCATTAAAATCAGGAGCATATAGGTTATGTTGATGGGTGTATGTGTTTGCCAATAGCTCTCTCCCTTTTTATGGTGGCAGTTATTTCACTGATGCATCCTGCCACTGTCGTGCGTGCAATAAACATCATTGCCTGGTGTTTAAAGGGGATTCAGAGGTATGCAAATCCAGCCGAACAGCCGGTGTTGGTTCCTTTATTTCTTTGCATGTGATTTGTCAGATTCTCTGCACCTTAGAGGCACAAAATATTGAATTGAGGTCTCTGGAGCCTAATTTATGAATTCCTAGCGCTGCCAGAATTCTGTGGTATGCGGCATGCTTTTTATTCTGCAAACCCAATCAATACAGTTGGAACAGTTTGATTTTATGTGCAGTGCTCAGAGAAAAGGAGCCAGTTAGCTGGAATCTGTTTGTGTTCAGTTTAATAAATAGTTACAGTTTGATAAGTAAGTTTGTAAGTGGAAATGGTACTGTAGAAAGGTCAGATTAGGTCTTGGTATTCCACATGGAGGTGTCACACCTTGCAAGAAACAATGTTCAACAGAAGACATCTATCTAAAAGTCTCCTTTATGGCTGCATGCCCACTATTAATTGTTTCTCTCTGGACCTTGTACAACTGTGCACCTTATTGATTCTCTTATCTCCCCAAGCGCTGATGGCAAATGGAGGAGCTCTCTTGTCACTAATGCAGTTCTACATGGTTTGCCAAAAATCCTCCCAAGGGGATTCGTTCAGGATAGCTATCCATAGGACCCTTTGATTTGCATTTTCACTTGTCCATCAAGGTGCCGACAGAGATAAGATCCTTCACACAGCTCAGCTCATCGTTTGCTCACCAGTGCCAGCGGTTGACATTAGATTCTCTCATGCGCTGTGACCAGCTGGTCTGCTCTAGTATTCAATGTTCACTCTGGGGATTCTGCTCAGCAAATCTGTACCTCTTTTGTCAGTGTGACAAATTTGGGATTCTCCCTGTCTCTCTTAACAATGATGGTCTAACGTCTGGGCTAGGGGGAATGGTCGGAGCTGTAGATCCTATTCCCAGAATGTTTCAGCTCTCATGCTACACGCAATAATTAGAGTGTCTCAAAGATACTATGTGGTGGAATCAGTTAGGGGGAGTATTTTAATTTAAAACACCCCTTTCTACTATAAGATTAATAATATCATCATAATGTAATTCTTCATAATGTGTCGTATCATATGCAGAACATATCCAGGCTGGTCTAAAGTGTTATACCAGTCTAAATGTAGCTTGTAGATTAGTATAGTCCAAGTTTCTCAGGCTCACAAAAATAAAAACAGACTTATTTATTATTGGCTTTTTGTTGTATTGTGTGATTCTTTGGTAATTTTTGAAACTTTGCAACTGTTAAATTGTTCCAGAAGACGTTTTCTGCTGGAATGAAAAGTCTAAATTTACCCAAAATTCATTGCAAATTCATCCTTCTTATAGATAGTCAAGAGCTAAATAGCTTTGTGCAACAGATACATTTATATGTCTACTAAATTCTGACTGTTAGTTTGAACTAATCCAGTGTCAAAATCTATCTTTGTGGAAACCAGCCCTCGGTTTGATATGTTAACAAGGTTAAATTCTCGGTTTTTCAGAATCATAGCAGTTCAGTCAAGCAGGAAGCGCTGAAGGTGCAGTATGATTAAAGTATTAACTCTGTTCTACCAAAGCCTTCAGACTGCTGTAGGCTTCTTTATCTGATGGATAATAGTGGTTCTCTGAGAGATGCCGAGAGGGAAGGAGAATGAGATAAAACAAAGTGTTAGAAAGGCCAATAAACACACAGCCTTGGACATCGATCAGCCAGCTCTGGCCTGCACTGAGCATTCAATCACTTAAAAGTTGCTTCTACAGGTGCAACTGGTAGTTTGAACAGGTTGTGATGCTGCAGGGAAGGACATCTACTAAAGACGAGACCTTGGCAGGAGTCCTGCGCTGTTAGCTGGTCAGGCCTTGTGTGTTTTCTGTACATCTTGGTAATAAAGTAAATTACTTTACAATAAAGGGTGAAAATGTTTGGCATTAATAATTAACAGAAGTGGATCACAATATCAAGTCAAGACCCCCATGTAATTTATTTATGTTAATGCAATAGTGGAGTTTGCATGTTCTCCCCGTGCTTGCATGGGTTCTCTCCGGGTACTCCGGCTTCCTCCCATGGTCCAAAGACATGCAGCTTAGGTTGATTGGTGTCTCTAAATTGCCCATAGGAGTGTGTGTGGTTGTTTGTCTATGTGTTAGCCCTGCGATGGATTGGCGACCTGTCCAGGGTGTACCCCGCCTTTGCCCGATTGCCGGCCGTGATTGCCACTGTTCCTGGTTCAACTGCACCAACCATTAATCTTCACCATTCATCCTGTTTTTTCTGAAATGGGGTTTTAAGATATTTGACTCCAGTTATATAAGTACATTGCATACACAGAGGTATTGAGCACTTTGATACCAGGGTCCTTAAAGCAGAGAGCCAAGGGGGGGATTGGGAAGCATATATGTGTATTTATTTGTACTGTATGTGTGTGTTTTTAAAAGTGTGTGTGGAGAAGTGCTAGATGGAGCTATTAGCTAGTGTGGCAAATGGCAGACTCTGGGACAGCCCATGTCACCTAGGGAGCAGCCAGAACAGCTGCCCGTTGACCAGTGAACAGTGTAGATGCCCAACTTATGCTGCACATCTCCCAGAGGCCTGGAGGGAGGTGACTGGGGCAGACAAGGCTGTGAGGGGATAAGCCAAGGGAGTGGGCAGCATTAATGAAAGCTGGGTTTTATAGCTTTTCTGGGACTGAACTCACACTCCAGCAGGCATGTGGCTCCAGCAGTGCCAGCCACTCATTATGAGTGAGTGGAGCGCAGCCTGAGGACAGCATGGAATTGTATTGAATTGTGATTGTTGCTGATGCCGGCTGTTTTTATCAGTTCATCCTGGTGGCATACAGAGGGTATACAAGGGCTTGAGCCTGGGCTTGAAGTTTTGCTCTCTTGTAACTGTGGCTTTGTCTGTAACTCATTGTATAGTTACTCCAGGCCGACATAGTCTCATCTTCTTCTCTTCTTTTTTACTGCCTTGTTAGCAGCTTCCACCAGAGCTTTTGAATAAATCCTGATCCACCAAAGGAGCTCTTTGCAGATGAATTACAGTACAGCTCTCTATAAAAGTACACGGTCGGATCAGGCACCACATATTTCATGACAACTTTATGCACCCCCCTTCTGTTTTAGCAATACTGCATGGACCATCAGGCATGTAACAGGTGAAATGAGGCGATGGTGAAGAAGAATTATTATGGTCTGGCCAAAATCCAAAATTGCTGCTGAAATTAAGATCTGAGGTCTCATATGTAACAATTTTATGCAGTTCTTATATGGAAAATTAGTGCAATTCAACGATGCCTGGTCTTATCAAGACTGGTCTTAATCCCTCTGAGGATCGCTGTGCTCTCAGGGAGAAATTTGTATAAGACAATGGAAATGAATCAGCACTAACATCCTCCTCTTCAGCTGTGCTCACATCCATCACTGTGTCTGTGTGTGTGTCTTTGTTAACATCAGGAGCTGGGTAGTATAGACGGCCCCCCGCGGAACTGGAAGGGCATAGGAATCGCTATGGTGGTGATCCTGGCTGTTATGTCTCTGGTCATTCTTTCTGTCATCCTCCTCACACCTGGTAAGAATGTGGAAAAAGATTATAAAAGGATAAAAGGAACATAAAGAGCTGGAGGGATGTAAAAGAATAGAATATACTTTATTGTCCATTTGAGCAGCTGCAGCTGCAGTGGGGGACATTTAAATAGTTGTTTGATATTTTAGGAAATATTCTTATTCATGTTCTGGTGGAGCATTAGATGAGATGATTAATACCACTGCAATGTGTGTATGGTTCAGACAAATGACACATTAAAGGAAAAACCAACATAAAGAGTGTCAGTGAGGTGCTGGGCCACCACGTGCCACCAGAACGGCTTCAGTGCACCGTGGCATTGACTTTCCAAGTGTATGAACTCCACTGGAGGGATGAACTCCACTCTTCCAACAGATAGTCCCTGTGTTTTGATGGTGGCGGTGGAGACGCTGTCTGACACGTTGCACCAACATCTCTCACAGGTGTTTAACTGGGTTGAGCCCTGGTGACTGTGAAGGCCACAGCATCTGATTCACATCATGTTCATCCTCATCAGACCATTCAGTGACTCCTTGTGCCCACTCATTAATTCAGGTTGTTCCTTTAATGTGTTGTCTATCATTATATATGAAGCTATAGCCAGCAGCTGGTTAGCTTAGCACAAGGACTGGAAACCGGGGGCAACTGCTAGCCTTGTTTTGTCCAAACCAGCACCAGTAACATGATATATCCAGTTTTTTATCTGTACAAAAGTCACAGTGTAAAAATGGCAATTTCCCATTTATTTTGGGGGGGATGGGGGAGTATAACTGCTCAGTGACTTGGCTCAGAGCAGTTTCCAGGCAAGCACAAAATACTCTCTGTGAGATTTTAAACCCCCACCCCAATTAAAAACCCCATCTGAATTGTTTACACTTCAGTTTTTGTAAGAAGACTTAATGAACAAACAAAGAAGATATAATGAGTTCATTAGTGTGTTTTCCAGTTGCTTGTAGGTAGATTTTGCTATTTTAGGACAGAGCCAGTCTTTGTGCTAAGCTGAACAGCAGCTGGCTGTAGCCTTACATTTACTATACAGATATGAGAACAGTATCCACCCAACTATCTGCCAGAAAGTGAATAAGAATATGTCCTAAAAGTTGAGCTTGAAATTTAAAGGGAGACATAATGTGGGCAAGCACTTTACAAAGACTGCACATATTTCAAACATATTAACAGAAACATTGAAAGTATAGGTTGCGAACGTGCTCTGGCTTTGCTCTTCTGAAATCAGTTTCCGATGACCCATTGCTGTCTCTCTGCCTTTAAAGATGAATCTCACTTGTTACTCCATTCCCATCTCACCATGGAGGATCTGGAGAGTGCAGAGTTTAGAGTTTATGATCCCTGTGTGGCATGGTTGAATGGTAAGAACCGCTGCTCTTATTTACAAATTACTTTGGGCAGACATTGTGCCTCTGACAGTTTCCAATGCTTTAATGATCTCAGCTGAAACAGGGCCACTGGTTTGCAGTCATAGCAGCCATCTGTGTTTCTGGGGTTTAAGTCATCACTTTAATAACACAGGACCTCTCTATCCCTGAACTGTCTTAACCCTGTCAGAGAACGAAGTGGCTCTGCGCACCAGAGAGGGGCACATCCTGTCTTTCACCCTTAACAACAACCTTACCACAACTCTGCTGGACAACAGCTCCCTGGTGAGTTTCTGCAGCATATCTTATGAGGACAGAGGCCAGATATTAGTATTGATTGGCTCATACCCATGGATAGGTGGACAAACTGAACAAGGGAGGTGCTTCTAGACCAGTGGTTCTCAAACAGTTTCTGTCATTCCCCACTTAATAGGGTGGGCGAATTTTCAAGCCCCACTTGTCAAAAAATTATAACAAAATCAGCCAATTTTAAAATTTCAAATTTATTGAAATATCAAATAACACCAAGTTCAAAACAGATAAAACAGATAAGTTCAACTGTATCGTTTGACAGAAGGATAGTTTTCAATTTTGCAGCACTTGTCTCATCCAGCATAATCGACACCATGTCTACAGTTACAGGGAGAATGAGCTGCTCAGCAACTGTGTGGTTTTTTTGCACTGGACAATTCTGTATGCAACTTTGAATGAAGCCATTTTTGCTTTGCTGTTCACTGATGTGGATTTTACCACGCAATTTCCCTGTTGACAGGTTTCTGCCAGCTTTCTTTCAAAGAAGTCAAGTGGTTTATTAACGTGACTGGGGTGTGTTGTCTCTGAATGTCTTCTTAATTTGTTGGGTCTCATGCTGTCTGCTGCCAGCGGTTTAAGACAAGACACATATGGGTCCCTCCTCTGCCTCCACCATTCCAAACGTGAATCCAAGCACAAGATAGGCTTCATCATATTTCCTTTTCAGATGACTTTTTGGTTGATAAGGCTACTGCCTGTTGTTTTTTTTGTCTGCTTGTGCTGAAACGCCTGTTTTTTTTTTGTGGTCGATGTAACAAATTTATCCATTTACGTTATTATACCCACTACGTACACTATTGGCCCTCTTTGTGAACGTTTTCTTATATTGTTGAGCTGCAGTTAACATGCCGACGTCAAACCGTTATTGTTGCACTATGGTTCCACTTTTTTCTCCCGGACACGAACTGATGTTGTTTTAATTTACTTGTATTAATGACCCATTTCTAATTTTCTCCGTTCATTGCGCCCCACCTGTCATGTGTTTATTCCCCACTAGTGGGGCGCGCCCCATACTTTGAGAACCACGGTTCTAGACTGAGAGCGAGAGTAGAGTCCCATTGTTCCCATTTACAGAGTTGAGGCAAAAAAAAGGTTTGGCAGAGTGACAGTGTCAGCTCATTTCCCCCCGTCTGGCTGCTCTGTGAGCCCTCGACATGTGTCTTCAAAGAGAATTTTCAGAGCAAGGGCGTTCTTTTGAACGCCACCTCTGCATGACGCTGACAGACTTATATGGGTCAACGCTGAGGAGTTTAAAGCAGGGCTGTGTTGTCAGGTTGAGAAGAAGTCTCTCATCTGTGCTGTGATATGGGGTCTCTGCTGCGCTTCCTAGTTCCAGAAAATGATACTTTCTTGTATGAATATCAAGATGCACATAGGGTTTCCCTAAATAAATGAATTGCTGAGAGAAATTTACTGTAGATAAATATATTATCAAACTCTGAGATTAAAATTCAGTCAGTAAGTGAAACTTTATCAGTATGTCACTTTTCAAAATCTGTTTCAGTGTTTCATAGTTACAAAAAAAAATGCATCTGAATAAATATTAAAACCAAGCTAAAATGCTCAAAGAATAAGAATAAACCCGGTGAAGACACCTTGAGAAAATGCCTTTAAGAATAAACAGATTTGGTGATGAGATTAACAACACTGAACATGGCTGAGCTAATATTCTCCACTGGGTCTTAACAATGTGTAACCTGGAGCTTCCCACCACCTGAACTTGTAAATCCAACGGTCTGGATTCTGTTTTCCAGTGTGTTTTATGAGCGAGAACGTTTTAGGCTACATCACTGAAAAGGTGACACAGATTTGCAACAATAACAAATGTTGTCAGTTTAATGCATTTTTGGTGGGCAGGTTTTTGAACACCCAGTATAGGAAAATGCTACGCTAATGTTGCTTCACATATTACTGATCCAACCCCAAGAGAGAAACTGTGCCATAATCTAAAAGTTGGGACAGCAAAAGCTCAGTAACACACTGAATAGCCTAGTGGACCTGAATGCGATAAGCCTCATAAAAAGACTTTTTAATTCTGTCTTAAATTTGACAGAGAGGCAGCATCAAGAGCGATATAAGAAACAATGTGGATCTTAGTAACTGTCTCTCAGAACTAATGTAGATGTAATGTAGACTACAGCTTCTTCACACAAACAAAAAGCTTAATGCCTTACTATAGTCAAGATGTGAGGAGACAAAACAGTGATGATTTGTTCAAGCTGGTGAATAGACTTAACTGACTATGACAGAACCAAATAACAAACTTGAAATCAAAAATGATCCCAGTTAGATATCAGGGAACCATAAATGCTACAGTAAAATTTCAAAGGCATGATTTGGAGCAACGATAATCCAAACTGCAGGAAACTGAGACAGGCTGGCTCTAGAACTGACGCTTGAGGAATTCCACTGGTCCGACACTTTGTCAGCATTGGTAAGACAAAGGTTATGATTTGATAAATAGGAAGAAGCAATGCTAATTTTCTTTATTATTTCTACAGGACCTGCCCATGACTAAATTCCAGGTGTCTGCGGACAAGAGGTTTGTCCTCTTGGCGTTTAACATTCGACCGGTAAGTTTTCTCTGCATGCTAAGTAGACTCAGATGTATTTTGGAAAGCACCGTCAAGAATTTTACTCTCAGAAAATATCCAGGGCCATAAATTATGCACTGATATCAAAGACAAGCTGTTACTGCTCCAAATATCTGACCGACCACCAGTGGCTGCAAAACAATGGTTACATGCATCTTAATCAAAGCCCAAAGAAACAACAGAGAGAAG